GGTTAAATGCACCCGCTCCTAAGAATTATGTGTCGTCCTTCCCCGTAAGTACATAAATAAAATAAATAAAAAAAAAAAAAAAAAAAAAAAAAAAAAAAAAAAGGGCACAAGAGCTGAAATAAGAAAGTCAGACCTGACCGATCTCTTTTTTTAGTTAAAGTAGTGCATCTAGGTAAGACCAGAAAGAGAAGAACCCTTGTAGGAAACAGGAAAATCCATAGAAAGTCTTCATAGTCAAACAGAGCACTATGTTACAGTCCTTTATCTTTATGATAAAAATACTTTCCCTCGATTCACCTTCAGGTTTCCAGGCAGATTAGAGAGGCAGAGAGGAAAGTCATTTTGCTTAAAGGAAAGTAATCACCTCGGCTGTCTTGGGGAAGAAAAGGGCTCTTAGTTTTCAGAAGTCTGTGGTCTGTGCCCCGTGTCTTGGGACTTCACAGCACGGGAAAAGTGAAAGGTCAGAGTCACTGCCACTGCTGGCCAAGCCCACCCGCCCGCCCCTCAGCCTGCCTGGCGAGCCCTCTGCTCCCGAGCCGCCCGCCCCCCTGGCGAGGCCTCACTCCCCTGTGCTGAGATGAAGTCGTCCAGCAAGAGCACATTCATTCTGGTGTTTACCCCCTGATGCTGAGGTCTATTTGACCCTTGTTCTTCCTATCGGAGGAAGTGGAAGCCAAGATTTTTAATCATTGCAATCCAAGTGAAAAGCTCTGTTTAGCATTTACAGGCATACCATTTCAATACGTATATATTATATACAAGAATCTGAAGTATCGTCTACTTGATAGATCTAGACTAGATCTCCACATTGATGGCCCATTTTTTCCCTAAGGGACAATCTGGCAGCATTAACTGGTTCCCGTGTGGGGACAGGTTATGTGACCTTTGCACCTGCGGAGGGCCAGGGAGGCTGCGAGCAGAGGGTAAATGATTCACCGGGTCCTGGAATCAGTTAGCGGCAGTGAGCAGAGCTGCCCTGCGGAATCTGCCAGGCTGGTCACTCACCGGCCACCCGTTCTTCCACCAGGTGCTCCAGGGGCAGACGGATGGAGTCGTGTTCCACGGTGCAGGTGATAAGGTGGGGCGTGGCCCCATCCAGCGGGCTGCACAGCTCGGCCGGGCTCCCCTTGGAGGGACGGGTTTGGTGGAAATGTTTCACCACGGAATGAATTACTAAGTTGTTTGACTGCAGAGAGCAGAAAGAGCATTTACGACACCTGGGCTAAGGGGAGGGCAAGAGTAGCACTTTCTCTGACTTCATTTTCCTTGTGACTAACATTTAAAAAGGAAAGAATGGTCTTGAAGACATTCAGCTTCTGAGCTGCACATCTGAATGCCCAACGACAAACATTTGGGGTTTCAACCTTACAAAAATGTCAGAATTCATTTCCAGTCAATTATGCCTGTCTTATTAAGCAATGTTATGAATTTTTAAATTTTATAAATCTATCAAAAAAGAATATTTTGTCCAGGTACCCACTGCTGATGGGAGTATAATCTGGCATATTAAGGGCCATTTGGCATATCTATCAAAAAAGCCCTCTGACCCAGCACATCTGTGTCTTGGACTTGATCCAATCACTACACTTGCATAGAAGCAAAATGATGTACAGAAAGGTTGTTTATTAGGTGTAGCACTGTTTGTAACAGCTCAACCTCGGAAAGCCCTTCAGAGTCTACCAATAAAGGGACTTGCTAAATAAATCATGCAACGCTGCTCAGTGGACACCAAGGTATAAACATCAAGGAAACGCTTTATGTGCAGAGACCAAAACATCTCAAATACAAATATACTTGCTAAATAATAATAAAAAAAAGGTAGCAGACATTATATACAGTATTCTACCCAATTTGTATAAAAAAGGGGAAATACACATACATTTGCTCATATATTGCAAAAATATCCTTGAAAGGGTAAACAGGGACATCTACATAGTTATTTGCTTTTAATGCATAGACTCTCTGGAAGACATCAGGAAGCTAACAATACTGGTTTCCTGTAGCCAGAGTGGGTAACTGAAGGGTTCAGGGTAGAAGACTTTAAAAAAAAAACAAAACAAAAAATTTTTCTCTTATTTTAAATTATAACATATATACAGAAAAGTGTGTAAAATATAAACGTAAGTTTAACAGAGAAGTAAGGCAGTGAATACTGAGTGACTGTTACCTGATCAAGACAGTGGACACTGCCCCACACAGAAGCACACCAGGCCCCCTCGATCACTGTCCCCTTCCCACCCCCACGGAGCTGACTACCACCCTGATTTGTATGGCAATCATTTCCCTGCTTTTCTGGATACTCTGACTTCCTATGCAAGCACCTCTAAACAATACTGTTTATTTTGTCCTTCTGACCTTCATATGAGTAGAACTGAACGAACTTTTTCTCAGTAAAGATCCAGTCCCTTGGAGCATCTGGGGGTACCCCACGATGGGGGGCAGTGCTTGCGCTGTGCTGAGGTGTCCACATGCTGCCATCCTGTGTGCAGAGGACTTAAAGACAGTGTCCAGCTGGTGGCACGCCAAGGCAGCCCCCTCTGTGGCTCACCGATGGGCAACACGTCGGATCAGGCAACAGTGAGGAGGTGGTCGGGGATGGATGACTCAGATGGTTTTCTCCAACCCGCGGATGCTTCTTAGAGGTCCCAGGTAACACCCTTGTAGAAAATGCTGCCACACAGCCATTCTATCCAGAAGAGATGTTCCTTCGGGGCTCCACATGGCCGCAGAGTCCCTACACTCCCAATTAAGGCCACTGTGGATGGTAGTGTAAAAGATGACCCAATGACTATGAACAGGATGGAGATGCCCAAGCCCCTCCCACGTGCCGCATGTGTCTGTCAGTCGCTGCTGAACCCTGGAAATGGCTGCCCTGCCCTGGGCCCCAACGGGAGCACAGGGGCCTCCGTGGGAACCACCAAGTCACATCTGAAAATGCACCATGTGCTCCCAGACCACGAACGTCCTTGGCACCAGATGAGACCAGGATGGCCCTACCGGGCAGCTGGGGCTGAGGGAGCTCCTTGCGGGCCACCGGGAGTCTGGTCGCAGTGGTGGTCGCGGGGCCCAGGGGCGTGGCGGCAGCTCCCCGAGCCGTCGTTCAGCCAGACTGGCTCAATGGACCCTTTGACTGACTTCATTCATTCAGCGTCTCAAGATCCATGCGCGTTGCTGCAGGTGGCCGCGTGACATTCCGCTGTAGGACTGCAACACAACGTACTAACATTGGTCCGTGCTAATTTTGAGGGACACCGGGGTTGCTCCCAGTTTCTGGCTGCCGTGAACAGTCTCTACCTGTGCCCTGGTGCGCACGCGCCTCACCTGTCGACGCTACGCCCTGGGAGTGGGACTGCGGGCTGACAGTGTATGCGCGTCTTCACCTTCACCAGAAACAGTCCCTTTCCCAAACCGGCATTCCGGCTTAGGCTCCTGCTTCCTGCTCTGCCTCCTTTGTCCACACTTACTACCATCGCAATGCTTAACTTTTATCATTCTGATGGGCGTGCAGACGTGTTTCAATGTTTTTTACTCTGACGGCGATGCCTAGTATTTTCACATGTAGAAACTCTTTGGGCGTCTGCTTTGTGAAGCACATGACTCAAGTTTCTTGCCCCTCTTTCCATTGGGTTACCTGCCTTTATATCCTAGATGCTAGTCTTTTGTCAGTTATATGTTGTGAGTGTCTTCTCCCACTGTCCAGCTTGTCTTTTTGTTTTCTTCATAGGACTCTTTGATGACATAAAGTCTGTTTTGTGGTGGTGGTGGTATCATTTATCAGCCTTCTCCTTTATGGTTAATGCTTTCTGTATCGTATAGAAGAAATTCATTGCTCTTAATCATCACAAAGATAAAAACTTGTCACCTGAAAGCTTTCTAAATTTTATTTTTCATAATTAGGTATTTATTATGCCCAAAGTTATGATTATTATTTTATGTTGTGAAGCAGAAATCCAATTTCCTTTTTCTTTGTGGATATACAGTTGTCCCAGCACCATTTACTGGAGACCATTCTTTCTTCCTGCTCTGTGATGCTACCTCAGTCATATATGGTGATCATATAATCTAGCATCTGAGCCAGAAAAACTTAAGAATAAGAGGGCACTGGGGCGCCTGGGTAGCTCAGTCGGGCATCTGCCTTCGACTTGGGTCGTGGTCCCAGGGTCCTGGGATCAAGCCCCACATTGGGCTCCCTGCTCAGCGGGTAGCCTGCTTCTCCCTCTCCCCCACTTGTGTTCCCTCTCTCGCTGTGTCTCTCTCTGTCAAAGAAATAAGTAAAATCTTAAAAAAAAAAAAAAAAAAGAATAAGAGGGCACTACTAAATTATGTCAGGACAACACGTATATCTTGGGACTGTCCTGAGCAAACCAGGATACATGGCTACCTCAGTCATATGACAAGTGCCCATACATGCATGGCGTTATTTCTGGTCTACCGTCTGTCCCTGCCCGAAGACCGCCTGCCTTAATTAGTAAGCTTTACAAAAGGCTGGAATCTGGTGGAGCAAGTCATTTCACTGTGTTCTTAATCTTCCAGAGGTCTTGACAATTCTTGGCCTTTGGTATTTCCATATAAATTTGTGAGATTCCACCAAAAAAGTGTCAGGATTTTGACTGAGGTTGCATTGAATCTACAGATCAATTGGGAAGAACTGAGGTATTTAGAACACTTGGTCTTCCAATCTGGGAGCTTGGTGAATTGCTCCGTATATTCAGAACTTCTTAGAAGGCGGTATACACGAATATTTCTATTACTTTCTTGGTGGGGCGGGGTCTATGAAAAAGGGCCTACAAATTCTTTTTTGTTAGCTTTATTTCCTAAGTATTTGATATTTTTCATGCTCCAGTAAAAACCTGAAACCACTATCGAAACTGCTATATGGAAACTAAGAGGAACAGACTAATGCTCCAGCAAGGTTTGACTTGAAACAGACCACATTTTTCTCCTCCTCATTCTTGAAGCCATCCCCTCCCCTTCACTTGCTTTTCTGTAGAATCCTTTGTTCCAGGAACTCGGTATCGATACTTAATAATGAGACTCGGATGGCCAGCGCCAACGCTGGCCATGAGACCACCATGGAGACATGATGAACATGGCTGGCAGGACGCACCAGATTCCTATTGATGCTGCTGGATCCTGTATTTTCCTATGAAAGCCCTGAGCCTTTTACCCCGGGCGGGTCTGCAGTTCTGAAGGCATCAGCCTGCTGCAGCCTCCCTTGCCTGGCAAAGTAATAAACTGTCGTTCCTCTTTATCCCCAAACTCTGTCTTTGTGTTACATTTTGGCTCCAGAGCATGGAGATCGATTTTTGACAACACACCTGCTTGTCACTGGTACATAAAAACACGACTGATTTTTGTATCTAATAACTGCTAAATTTTCTTATCAACTCTAATAATCTAGCCGCAGATTCTCCTCGGTTTTCCACATGGACAGTTACATCACCTGTGGGTGATAGTCACGCCTTCCTTCCCAGAAAGGGAGACAGTATTACTATTTGAGCAGAAGCCTTGACACCATCCCACTGTCTCTGAGTATTTCCATCAATCTAAAAGTACATCTGGAAGGGTCAAACCTCAAAATCTTAATCAGGCAAACAATTTAGAAGGGACTTAAAGGGATAATTCCAGGGCAAAATGAAGAGGAAACTCTCTATTGAAATAATGCAAGTTAATTTACACGTTATGTTACAAATATCCCATCAGCCACCTGGAATTTACTTTTAGGATAAGTACTAATTATATGAAGCTAATTTGCAAAATTACCAAGACCAAGACCAAGCATTACTCTTTTTTTAAAAAAATAATACCAAGAGGGAACCATGTTCTATTTTTTCATATAACTTACAGTTAAAAGACTGTGAGCCTGTTTAGAAACTTTACCTCAGTGCCCCCGGAAGTGAAGATAATGTCCTGAGGTTTCCCACATATCATCTTCGCGACATTCTCCCGAGCTGTGTCAATAATGTCCTTGGCCTTCCGACCTGCGGAGACCAAAATGGAAACTCATTAACGTCACTTCCCTAAGCCCAATATGTTTAAAAGAACAACCAGACATGGGGCGCCTGGCTGGCTCAGTTAGTGGAGCGTGTGACTCTTGATCTCGGGGTGGTGAGTTCAAGCCCCACACTGGGTGTAGAGATGAATTAAAAATAAAATCTTTAAAAAAAAAAAAAAAAAGAACCAGACACGCAGGAACAACTCTAAGTGGGCAATTCTAAGACGACCCATGTTCCGTTAATGTGAATACATTAGGCCACAACTTAGGAATAAGCTGATGAAGGGGCAGCAGCAAGATAGGAGCAACTCAGTGACACCTACTGAGACTTAGTAAGAGGTGGAAACAAATACGGGGGGACACGCGGGAACCCTAAAATCCCCAAAGACGTGGGCTTCCTCTTACCGGATGCTACAGGAGAGGGGAAGCTGTGGCCATCTGCCTTGCTTCCCATTCATCAGAACAGGAGGGTGAAGGGATGAAATAATTTGCTTAAGATCAAGCTGCAAAACAACAAAAATAAGCAAAAAGAATGCTTATGACTCCTCAATACATGGTGCAATGCTGCATCTCAGTGCAGGTCCCCCAGGCACACGAGAGGTCCCTGCCGCAGGGCCAGACCTGCTGTCACATGGGGGCCACGCACCCCAGCTGTGAGCCAGTTCCACTGGCCTGGCACGAAAGAAGGGACCAAACTGTATGTGGCAGAGAAAGCAAGGAGCCAGAATGGGAACTGTGACAACGTCAATGGCCATTCTTACTTGGTCTATAGATCAACAGTCTCCAAAATTTGTTGACTATTCAGCCCTACTTGTAAGAAAAAAAAGTCATCAAATTATACACTTTCACTCTGCAGTTCAGTGTATGTGAATCACACCTCACTAAAGCTGTCGGAGGGGGAAGGACGCAGAGGGCGCAGACCAACGAGCCCCGGGAACAAAAGCTACTGGAACACTCGGAATCCCGTCCACTGTGGACAGGTCAGAGAACTGCCAGAAATGACCTTGTGGTTGCTCTCTTCATGTACTTACAATTTATATTTTCAAAAAGGATCTAATGCCACTTGAACCAAAGGTGCATACTCAGGGAGATTAGAATATGAATGGTAATGAGATGCTGTCATTGGATTAATGTTCAGTCTCTGGGTCGGGACGGTGTCCTCGCTCTTAGGAGACACCATTTAGGTATTTAGGAGGGAAGCCTCCTGTTTGCAACTTACTTTCAAATGATTCAAATAAATGGGGCAAAGTAGTAATAATTGATAAATCCAGGTAAAGGAATTAAATGCAGGTGTTCACTAGACTTATTTCACCTTTTCTGCAGATGTTACATTCCAAAATAAAACTTTGGCACAAGGAGTTAAAAAAATAAATCAACCCATGAGATGTGTGCTGGCAATGGTTCTCTCCCCCACCCCAAGGTACTAATTCAGTCTTTATCTTTTTAACAAGTAATGCCCTCAACTGAGGAAATTGGATATGTCCCGAATCCAGAGCAGGACCTTCCTGTCATGTTCTCAGGTTTGCGGATGGCACTGTGATGGGAGAAAGTCCCTTCTCTTTCGCACATACAGGTGTTTCCCCATGATGGGGAAGTACCACGCTTCCTGCAACTCATTCTCCAGGGCTCATGAAAAAGCAGTAAATTCAGAAAGAAAGATATCAAGGTAATACGGCAACACTGTTGGATCTAGGTAGGAGACACAGGGGTGTCTATTTTCTTACTCTTAAATTTCCAGAATGTTTGAAGTTGTTAGTGTAACTAAATGTAAAGAATGGTTGGTAACTGTAACTGACATAAGAGAAGACTCTGAACTCCTCCTGCCTTTCAGGAAGCAAGAGGGATAGTAAGGGGCATGTGTGGCTCCCATGATCCATTAAAGCAACTCTCCTTCACTCGGCTGTTCTCACACCCGAGCCCCTCTACCTGCCCCCAGCAACGGCCCATTTCTCCTTTCCCATCTCTACCCCTCTCCATTCCCTCTTGAACTCACTGGCAATTAGGTACTCTGGTCCCTGGTCTCCCAAACCTACTCTGACCAAGGTCCCCGTGTGCCAAATCAAGGTCCCCACCTCCTCCCTTGCCAGCAGCTCTCCCCTTGGTCCACTCCCTCCTCCTCCGAGTCCCTTGCTAGGCAGGGCTCCAAATCCAGATGGCGGATAGCCCCGCACCCTGGCCAGGTCCTCCGATCCTCCCTCCCTCAGCAACTCAAGACTGAATAACCAGCACCGTGCTGCAGACTCTACTGTTCCACCTGGGTATCCAATAGGCATCTGCAACTACACTTACTCCAAGTTGAACAATGATTTCTCCCCCAAACTTGTTCTTCTCAGCCTTTCCTATCTCAGTAAATAAATGGCAACTCAGTCCTTGCAGGGGCCTGGGGCCAAAAGCTTTGGCTTTTGCCTTTCTCATACCCTGTTATCCAACCCATCAGCAAATCCTGTAAGGCTCTGCCATCCAAAATACCTGGAATCTTGCCTCACCTCTGCACTGCCCAGCCATAGCTGAGTCAAGGCCACCGCTGAAATATTCTCCTAGAAGGCTCCCAACTCCACTGACACCACTGTGGTCCACTCTCTAGGCAGTGGCCAAAGTAATGCCCTGAAAACCCAATACTTTTTGTACCCTGTGCCTTATCCCTCACCAGAACAGTGCTTGGCAGGCAGTAAGTACTCAACCAATACTGGTTAAATCAGCTGTTCTCAAAATGTCATCTGGGGAGCCCTTGGGGCAGGGGCAAGGCACTTTCAGGGGTCCACAAAGTCAAATCAAGTTTCATAATAACGCTAAGACATCATTTGTCTTTTTATACTCATTTTCTTGAAAGTATATAGTGAAGCCTTCCAGAGGCTACATGATGTGAATATTGCAACAGACTGGATGCAGAAGCCTTAACCTGCTTAAGTCCTTGTGCTTAAGCTACTGTTAGGTGGGGGTTTCTATATCTCACAGCAAAATGATACATTTTCCATACTTGCTCATACACAATTTTTCTTGAGGGTTGGGTATAAGAAACAAAGAAACCATACTGCACATCAGGTTTCATAACATGCTTTTCCCACATGAACTAGATGCTGCTAGATCATTGATCTAGTCCACACCATGGCTCTGACAGGGCCCGGAACTCCACTTAGGGCTTCGGCATACTCAATGTGATCAGTCCTTGACTGATGGACACTGAGGTTATTTCCAGCTTTTTACTATTACAAGCAAGGCTGTGATAAACATCTTGGGTATCTAAACACTTCCCATATGTCCTTAACGTTTTTCCCTAAAATAAATTCTCCCAAAGGAATTATTATCATTATTAAATCATAATATTGTGAAAATAATTAAACCATTCTATCATAAAGGTGATTTTCTTTCTTTTCTTTTCTTCTTTTCCTCCCCACCCCCCGCCCACTTCTACCTGAGTATGAACAAGTGAACGGCAATGCACACTTCAGTTATGGTTCTTAATGAAATGAAGGCTGTCAGGACAAGTGGAAAGCCACGGACAGCTTTCATCAGGTCAAGAAGGGGAATTTCTCCTTCAGGGTTATTCCTAAACTTCTTTATAAGAAATGTTTTGTATTAGCATTTAATTGTCCTCCATATTCTCAAGATCAATGCATCAGAAAGTACAGTTTTGCTAGAGGAAAAATTAGATACAAGGCAATGTCCAGAAGATTAGCCAGAATACACGTAACAAATAAACCAACAAATAAGTTAATGAATGACTAGTACCGGATTTTGAAAAAGCTTTTAGTTATCAAGTCGTGAAGCTCATACCAAACAGATATGAAAACACATGAAATCCTGTAAAGTTTTATATAAGTATTACTAAATTCTAGGGCTTGGCAACAGTGTCTGAAAGCTCTTTTACTCCTCATAATCCACAGTTAAGACAGTTTATCTTAATTATCTCTGGTAAGTATTAAATAAAAAAGGTACAACTAGCTGGCCATCTGAAAAACATAATGTAACTGTGACAGTGACATAAAACTACTGATTTGGAGCAAATCATTTTCCAAAACTGCCACTTTAATGATCTACATTAAAACAAGAATAAATGAGAAATAAGAATATTTTTATTATAATGAAAATAAAGAATTTAAAAATAATTTTCATTAAAAAAAAAGGCCAGGATTATATGCAATCCTGATGATTTAAAAGATCTATTTTGTAAATTTTTTAGGGATCCACTGAAACAGATACATGAAAGGGTTTTAATGGGTACTGTTACTACAAATAGCTCTTAAGAAGACGTCTTTTTCATCTGGGTAAGGGGGACGGGACAGTGTATTAAAAATGAAAGGTTATGGTATCAACAGACTCAATGTACAAGTTTGGACTTTTCTGAAAACCAACCAGCCAAAAATTACACCTAAGGTTTGCAGCGAACAGAAAATCTATTCAAAAGCAAGTGATCACATGTGGTGTACAATTTCTCTAAGACTGCCTCTGCCCCCCATATCTCCGGATCTGTGAGTACCTTCTAGGATTACCTGCTGGGTAAGGACTGCTGGGATTTCCCCAGGCTTCCCTCATGGCCTCGGTCATGGCCTGGATGACTTCTGGCTCAAGGGGGGTGGTTGCATTATAGTCCATGTAAACTTTCCTGCTGGAAAGAAAACACAGACGTGCCTATTAAGGACAAGGAGATGGGGTACGGAAGCACAGCTGCAGTCTGTCAGCTCAACAGAGCAAATACTGTCAAGGTCGGGGTGCTCCCCTGCAGAAACACCATGCAGCCTTCCACAAACTGCGCTTGGACATCTCCAAATCTTCATGAATTATGGAAAAGGTATGCATAATTTCCAACAATCTAGTATTTGCTACCTTCCTTTATAATCGCTAGACCATCCATTTAGATTTTCAAAATTCTTTCTACCCTTGGTAGGATCAATGGCCCGCTGAGCCTCGAAGCCTACCCGACTGCTCTGAAGGACAGACCTGCTCCTCTCCTCCAGATGGAAGGACGGGGCAGCGTGCGCGCCCAGCGAGCCACACCTTCCTGAGGGCTTTCTAACTTCATGGGTAGTTTTTCTTTATTTCTCTGTAGTCTCTGGCCTGGCGGAAGGCTCAGATGATCTGGGCACCCACTCCTCCCGACACTGTCCCCTTGGCTCCCGGACCCTGGGCAGGCCTACTTCTCCCCTCCCACTTCCAGTTTCCCGTGCCTAGCAAGACCACACCCACACCCCACTTTCCTTCATAGGTCTTTGTTCCATCTTGACTTTCTTGTGAAGCCCCCTGCAGCTCTAAATAAAATTACAGCCACCAGTCCCCTTCCTCCTTCCTGTCTCTCCCTGGTACTCCTCAGTGTGTGACTCACTAGACTTGGGCCCTGTTTACTGTCGGCCTCAATAGAAATACGTCAGCTCCAGAAGCTCACAGGCTTTGCCAGTTTCCCTCGCTGCTCTGTCACTTACACTGAGGACAAGGGGCTGGCACATAGCAGGGGCCGGATTTACAAGAGAACAAAGTGTCACAGAAAAGCACAGCTCCTGAAAGATCCCTCCTAAATAAAATTTATCTGTGTATCTTTTTACCGATATCAGAAACTTTCATATATATATACAGTAGGTAATCCTGCCTAATACTATTAATTTACCTGATCTTAAAATCAGTAACAATGTTTAAACTGATCCACATGAAAATTCAAATACAATTACCAACTGTGGCTGTTAAAACACAGCTTTTTTTTTTAAACCACAGAGTGTTTTATTCATTTCTATTTTTTAAAAAGATTTTATTTATTCATTTGACAGAGAGAGAGAGCACAAGCAGGGGAGCGGCAGACAGAGGGAGAGGGAGAAGCAGGCTCCCTGCTGAGCAGGAAGCCCGATGTGGGGCTCGATGCCAGGACCCTGGGATCATGACCTGAGCCGAAGGCAGACCCTTAACTGACTGAGCCACCCAGGTGCCCCAAAACCACAGTGTTTTAATGCAACATCTTGTCTATAGCTGTCCAAAGTCACCTGGTAGGTTTAAGGCTTTGGGAAGTTTGACCTGCCACCATTGGCCACTCCGGCATTGGGAAACACCTGGTCCTGCTGTGACTTAAATTTGCATGTGCCCTTAATTTGCTTTCACTTCCTATAAGTACCCCACACTTCCTCAAACTACTTGTGTCTGCTCAGCGACTACTGCTTTTCTTTCTTTTTTTAAAAGATTTTATTTATTTATTTATTTGAGAGAGAGAATGAGAGCACGAGAGGGAAGAGGGTCAGAGGGAGAAGCAAACTCCCCGCTGAGCGGGGAGCCCGATGCGGGACTTGATCCTGGGACTCGATCCCGGGACTCCAGGATCATGACCTGAGCCGAAGTCAGCCGCCTAACCAACTGAGCCACCCAGGCGGCGCCCAGCGACTGCAGCTTTTCAATCTGCTGGCAGACTGAAACATTTATGGCTTGAATTTCAGATTAACATTTTATAGATAACTCTGCTCCATTATTTGCTTCTTCCTTAAAATGCTATCAATATTGGATGGGAAAGCTAGAGTCTATTATGTTCATAACCAAAATATAATAAAAAGGTATGGTGACTCTCCTCTCCACTCAAGTCTCCCTCAGGGGCTTTTTCCCAGATCCTTTTGCTCAGGCTCAACCAAAGTAGACTGCCTAAAGAAAGAAATGGTCAGGTTTGGGCCTGGACCCAAATTTTAAAGACACACACATTCCTCACATTCACGCAGAGAGGATGACCAAAAAAAGAGTAAGCAAAATCCCAGCAACCAACAAAATGCACAGTTGCAGCAGGCTGAAGAAGCAGCGTGCACTGGAAGGCCTCCCTGCCTACCTCCCCACTTCCCTCGCTGCTCAGGCCAGGAGCCTGGGAGGCATCTGCCTCAGTCCGTCCTTTGCCTACACCAGTGCCTCAGCCAGTCCTGCGGCTTCTGTCTCGGTACCCCCACGCGCCACCACGGCCAGCACTCCGGCCACACAATCTTACGGAAGATCCCCAGCGTCTCCCGGCTTCCTCTCCTGTCCCGCACCCACCCGCCCCTAGAATGCATCCCGAAGTCCTTCCTGAGCTCCGTGGCTCTGCCCCCGGACCGCCGCTCCGCCAAGCCCCTGCTGCCCACGTCCGCACGCTCGGTTCTAGCCCCCGGGGCCTGTGCAGCGGCTGTCCCCCTTCCCCGGGCGCGCTTCCCCAGAACTTGTGCGCTGACTCCCGGACGTCACCTCCGTGGGAGCCCCGCCCAGGCCGCGCCCCCACCCGCTGCTCCTCCCGGCTCCCACCCCCGACGTAGGCCTCCCCGCCGACCCGCACCGCATCCCCGCGCGGGACGCTCAGGCCTGCGGTGACCGCCAGCTGGCGACCCCTCCGGGCGGGACCCCTTCCCCGGAGAGACCTCCGGCCGCCACCGGCCGCCACCGGCCTCCCCGCACCCCCCCGCGCCCTCTCCGGGCGGGACACCCCCACCCCTCGCCCCGGGGCGCCCCGAGGGCTTCCTGGAGGAGGGGGCCGGCCAATTCCCCCTCACCGAGCACACCTGTCCGGCGGGCTCTTCTCCCCGCGGCCGCGTGGAGGACTCGCCGCACGCCCCCGCGCGTCCCTGCTGGGCTCCACCGCCGCTTCCATCCCGGCCCCGCCGCGGCTCGGCCCCGACCCGCCCGCACCCAGCACCTCCCTGACCCACTGGCCTCGCGAGTCTCGTCGGGGTGCGACTCCTCGAGGCCCGGCGGAGGGGGCGGGGCCGCGAGGCCGGGACGCGTCCGGATTGGCTGCGCTTTGCACTCCGGCCAACCCCCCCCCCGGGCCCGGCCCCGGCGGGATGCCGATTGGCTGCGCGCGGTCAGGTGACGGGGGCGCGACACAGGGGGCGAATCACGGAGGCCGGGAGGCGGGCTGCGGCGTGGAGTGCGGGCGCCTTTGCGCCCAGGACCCCGAGCGCGTCTGCCGGAGCTGGGCGGGGTCGGGCCCTACCTCTGTGTCGTTGCAGCGCCGGGAGGCCGGGTCTGCAGAGTCCCGGGCGGCGTGGGTGACACGCAGTCGGCGGGAGGGGCGCGGGAGCCAGAGCTGAGGAAGGGCTGCCGGGGCCTGGGGCCGGCCGAGGAGCGCGGAGCGGGGAGGGGGCTCGAGCTGTGGACACAGGCCGTGTGACCCCGGGCGGTGGGCACGTGTGACGCTGCTCCACCCTGCCGAGCACAACAGAAGTCAGGGTGCACGGGCCAGCCACAGCAGTTGTTCAGTTTAACTGAGCCCTGAGCACGTGCACCGTTGTGAGCACCTTCACGTATTCACTGATTTAATCTTGGGAACAGCGAGTGGGCACAGTTAGGAAATTGAGGGAAAGTTCAGCATCTTGCCCAAGTTCACACGGTAGTGAAGGAGCCAGAATTTGAATTCAGGAATGCTTTGCCAAGAAGTTGAAATCGGCTTTTCGAAGACTTTCTCAGTTTGATCTCCTGTTGGGGTCCAGAAGTTGTCTCTTCCAGCTCTGCAAGTCTCTATATTTCTGGGTTCCTTATTTGCGTTCATTCTTGCTTGCAAACTGAGCTCATGTCAAATGTAGCCATAACAAAGGACACACCAAAAAAAATTTTTTTAAGATTTATTTGAGAGAGGGGCGCCTGGGTGGCTCAGTCAGTGAAGCATCTGCCTTGGGCTCAGGTCATGATCCCAGAGTCCTGGGATCGAGTCCCACATCAGGCTCCCTGCTGGGTGGAGAGCCTGCTTCTCCCTCTCCCTCTGCCTGCTGCTCTGCTTACTTGTGCTCTCTGTCAAATAAATAAATAAAAATTTAAAAAAAAGATTTATTTGAGGGGCGCCTGGGTGGCTCAGTTGTTAAGTGTCTGCCTTTGGCTCAGGTCATGATCCAAGGGTTTTGGAATCGAGCCCCGCATTGGGCTCCCTGCTCGGCAGGAAGCCTGCTTCTCCCTCTCCCACTCCCCCTGCTTGTGTTCCCTCCCTCACTGTGTCTCTCTCTGTCAAATAAATAAATTTAAAAATCTAAAAAAAAAAAAAAGATTAGAGAGAGAGCAGGACAAAGGGGCAGAGGGAGAGAGAGAATCTCAGGTAGACGCTGTGCCGAGTGCAGAGCCCAAGGTAGGGCTCCATCCCACAACCCTGAGATCATGACCTGAGCCAAAACCAAGAGTCCCCACTTAACCCACCAAGCCATCCAGGCGCCCCAAGGACACACCAAAATTTAAGAAGCAAAGAGATAAATGGAGCTTAAACACAATCCAAAGAGGAGGAAAGGAAAGGAAATTAGGAAAGAATGTCCAAGAACAGATGAAAGTGTCAACTGCAGCTGAGAGGACATGTGGAAACCTTATAGGAAGATTAGGAGGCACTGATGCATTTAGTTCAAGAAATTTTAGTATGGCTGTGGGAAGAGGGCAGAGAAGTGTGCAGTGAGTTGAGGGATGGGTGGAACACAAAAAAACGAAGAATGTGGTCAACCCTTTCCCAAAGGTTGAGAAGGGAAGGAGGGAGCCAAAAAAGGGGGTACAAGATTAAGGGAAATATTTTAGAGCTTGAATGTGTTTATACGCTGAAGGGCGGTAGCTGACAAGGACATTGGAGATAAGAGCCAAAGCCCTGGAAGTGTTGAGAAGGCATGAGAGCAAGAGCAAAAGTGGGTGGGGGAAATTGAAAAGTAGGGGGCAGGTTTCCTTCTCTAAATCTGCAGGGAGATGGTGTGGATGGGAGCTGGAGGGCGCCCAGGGACAGCTGACAAGATGATTCATCTCAAGCCCTTCTTGGACCAATTAGGCAGTAGTTAGAGGGTTTGTGTTTCCGGGTGGATACAGTGAGTGTAGTGGGGTCAGAGAGCAGAGAGTGCCCACGTGGCTGGTGACAGACACCTAGAGAGAACAGAGTACCCGCATACAGAGGACCGGCTGCTGAGGCAGCAATTTCCTCCGCACTCTTCCTAAAAGCGTATCTGGTGCAACAGCCTGCAGCCTCGGCTGTTCCCCGTGGACTGGTCAAACAGATGCAACCGAGGACTGGAAGGATGTCTTAATTACCGAGATAAATGCTCAATAAAGACCAAACATTTAAGGAATGCTATCTCCGTGGAAGCCAGGTAGTAAGCACCACCAGTAGGACTCATGCCTAAGGGCAAAGGTGGTAGAGTTACAAGTAAGTCTTTAAAAGAGGAAACTCGGTAAGGAGATGAGTGGCTAGTTTGGTTTTTGTTTTTGTTTTTTTAAGGAAGTTATGAAACAACAAATAAAAAAAACAGATGTTGGACAAAAACTATAGTCAAGTTTTAAAAACTCAGTAGAGTTGCCGGGGGTTGCGGGGAGGGGAGAAGGAACAGAATACAGAGAATTTTTAGGGCTGTGAGACTACCTTGTTTCATTGTTCTTTGATTTATTGTGCTTCTCAGATAATGGGTTTTTTACAAATTGAAGTTTTGAGATTTCAGTGGAGGAAGCCACTGCAGATGGGCTGGGAACAGCAGGAGAACTGGAATTACAAGTGGAGCCGGAAGATGGGACTGAATTGCTGCAATCTTGTGATAAAACGCGAGGGATGAGGAGTCGCTTCCTATGGATGGACAAAGAAAGTGGTTTCCTGAGACGGAATCTAGTCCTGGTGACGATGCCGTGAAGACCGTCAAAGGGACAACAGAGGATTTAGGACATTACGTAGGCTTAGGGGATAAAGCGGCGGCAGGAAGTTCTCCTGTAGGTGAAATGCCATCAAACAGCCTCACGTGTGACAGAGAAATCGTGAAAGGAAGACAATCGATGCGGCAAATTGTTGTCTTATTTTGGGAACCTGCACAGACACCCCGGCCGTCCGCAGCCACCACCCTGGCCGTCCGCAGCCACCACCCCGATCCATCAGCGGCCACGAACATCAAGGCGAGAACCTCCTCCAGCGAAAGGACTACAACTCACTGAGAGCTCAGATGACGGTTTGCATTTTTTAGCAATAAGGTATTTTTTAATTATTAGGTATGTATGTTGGTTTTTTTTAGACCTAATTCTATCACACACCTGACAGACTACAGTATTGTGTAAATGTAACTTTTATATACAGTGGGAAACCAAAAACTTCATTTGACTCACTTTATTGTGGTATTTGCTCTCTTGTGGTGTTCTGGAACCAAAACAGCAATATCTTGGAGGTATGCCTGCACTATCATAATGGATACATTCTAGTATATATTTGTGAAAACCCATATAATGTACACCAAGTGTGAACCCCCAGTGAAAACTATGGACTTTGGGTAATAATGACGTGTCAGTAAAGATTCATCCGTTGTAACAAATGTTACATTTGTGGGATGTCTGCAGTGGGAGAGGTGTGCATGTAGAGGGCAGGAGTATATGGGGACTCTACTTTCCACTCGGTTTTGCTGTGAACCTAAAACTGCTCTAAAAAATAAAGTCTGTTTTTTTAAGGTTGGTTATTTATTTATTTATGTATGTATGTATGTATGTATGTATTTGAGAGAGCGCACACAAGTGGGGGGTAGGGGCAGAGGGAGAAGCAGACTCACCGCTGAGCAGGGAGCCCGAAGTGGGGCTCGATCCCAGGACCCCGGGATTATGACCTGAGCCCAAGGGAGACGCTTCACCGACTGAGCCACCCAGGCGCCCCAAGAAAGTCTATTTAAAATAAAAGGCAAACAATAGATGGGATGAATAGAATAGGCACAAAGAAAATTAGCTGAATGCGTGAGCATAAGAATGCTCTTAGATTATTGCTCAAAAGCACAAAGGGATGAAAAATTTGAAAGAAAAGAAAAATCTATCCAATACAGTGATTTTCAACAGGGAGTGACTTTTCCCTCCAGGGGACATTTGACAATGCCTAGAAATAATTTTAGTTGTCCTAACTGGGGGTAGGTGCTTCTGGGATCTAGGGAGTAGAAGCCACTAACTAACATCCTATAATGCACAGGACTGCCCCACAATGACAGATTATCTGGCCCACAATGTCACAGTCCTGAGGGTTAGACCCTGGTGTGGTTCTACATTGCCATTTCGTATCATATTCCTTCTGTCTGAGGACTTCACTCAGAATTTCTTCTAGTGCTGGTCTGCTGGCATGACATCATTCAGGTTTTGCATGCATGAGGGCAGTCTTTATTTTGCTCCGTCTTTGATACTTCCCCTAAAGAATTTTATCTTGAATATTTTTTTTTAAAAAAAGGTTTTATTTATTTATTTGAGAGAGAGAGCACAAGCAGAGGGAGGGGCAGAGGGAGAGGGAGAAGCAGGCTCCCCGTTGAGCAGGTAGCCCAATGCAGGAATCGATCCTGGGATCATGGGATCATGGAATCATGGGATCATGACCGGAGCCAAAGGCAGACACTTAACCAACTGAGCCACCCAGGTGCCTCTTGACTTCTTTTCTTTTAGCAATGATGTTTCTCCACTGTTTTCTCACTTGCATTGTTTCCAATGGGAAATCTGCTGTCAACCTTCCTTATCTCTGTGCCCCTAAGTATCATGTGTCTTTATTTCTGGTCTGCTTTTCATAGTTCTGCTCTGTCATTGATTTTAAGCAATTTAGGGTGTGATTTGGTGTGAAGAGTGGGTTCCATCTGTGTCCCAGACATTTCGCCTGGCATGTTAGGAGATTGTAATGTAAGTTCTCTGTCAATTTTTCATTTT